TCTTAATTGTATGATGATGTGAGGTTTTTTTTTCTTTCTGCTTTTAATTCTATGTACAGCTTATGTTTTCCTAACTATAATGTAAATTCCTTGAGTATAAGCGCCATGTTTCTTATGTCATTTATCTCTCCTATGCAAAGAACACAGTGGCCTCCATAAATTCATGCTGGTCACACAGCAGGGTAGATCTGTCTTGCCAGTTACAGTCCCATCATTTCTTGTCAATGGAAATGTACAATGTAAGGTTTTTAGTAATTTTTTTTTGGTAAATACAAGGTAAACCTCCTTCAGATATTGACATTATTCATTTCTTATAACCCCATTTTTTTTTTTGCAGATGTCACAGTTTTAATTAACTTCAGCTCAGCAGTTAACCTAGTGATCCAAATGGTAGCTTAGCAAATTAGGATCTGATTGATGAGATTTGGTCCCAGGGTGTCAGCACTAGATAGTTACCCGTAGTTTGTGGGAATGAGTGGCTCTGAGGCCTGTGTATGGATGAGTTCCACAGGACACCTTTCTTTTCTTTCTTCCCTCTAAAAAGCAGGCGGTCTGCAGAGTCCTCAGAAGACAGATGGGTTGCTAGCTGGGTTTCCTCAAAAGTTACCCAGCAAACATTCATGTTTTGTTTTTTAGTATTAATAAATTTAATTCTTTGTTTGGTTTTGATTTTGGGGGGATTATTTCAGCATTTTATCTGTTTTGTAGCTAGAATTCTTAAGCTTAGAGCTCTGGATTTATCTAAAACTATCCTAAACTGAGATTCACATTGTAGCTATTTAACCCTTTGTACTCTGAACCATTCTGGACATTGGCTACCAGCTACTCGACGCTACTTTGCGGCGGAAACATGCATTTACAGACCCTCGTATTATTTAGTATAATTTTGGAACCAAGTAACGTATTATAATGACATTGGACTTATATGAATTGGGTGACATCGAGGAATGTATATTTGCAAAAAAACCAATATTTTATTGTTTATAATTTTGTACAGTATGATAAGTTTTGTAACACTCCCCAATATGCATTGCAGGCTGATTAGTGCATGTTTGACAGTAATAAGTGGTTTGACGCCTGCCACCAGGTGTTTTCCTGTTAGAACACACAATGCAGTCCCGTTTTCTTTGTCCCTCATCGGGAATATGTAGTTTTTTGTTTAATCCGACACAAAACCCGCTGACATTTCTTGTATATATCTTAGTAATTTTACGATATTTTGATTTAATTTCTTGTGCCATTTCAAGATAAAACTTCAGGGAAACATGCATGTCTCAAAAAGTTGCGTTGAAATAACTCAATTCCTTGTAATCACTAATAAACTGCAATGTCCCCTGAGAGGGGACATCCGAGTGATATGCTAGAATTCCGATGTCCCCTGAGAGGGGACAGCGGAGTGCAAAGGGTTAAAGTTAGTATTGATTTTAGAGAGTATAGTTACAGATGACATTTGGAGATCTAAACAATTTAAAGATCTCCCCTAAAATGTTTGCACTGCAGTTTTAGAATGAGCAGAGGTTGGAAGACTCTTATTTAAATCCTGGTTGGATCACTGCAAACTGCATTGACTTAAGCAAATCATTAAAATTCTGAGTCTCTTTCCCCATCTTTAAGATGGGCATAATGTGTACTCCACAGGCATTTGAGAATTCAGTAAGATAATGTTATATATGAAAACCTTGTGCACTATTAAATAGCACACATATTTTAGTACTGTAAGCTTTCAACATACACAAATAACTCATCTCTCAGATCCTTTACAAGTTTTTTTTTTCTCTTTCTCGTGGATACTTTTACATCCCTTAAAACTATAACGAAGAGTCTCATTTATCAGGCCAACTTTTATTTATAGTTACAGTCACACCATTAAAGGGTTCAGTTAGAACTTGCCATTAGAAATATAATGTGAGTAAGGGTCAAACATGTTAGAACACTTCTCCGTAAATATGTATAAAAATACATGTTATAATGGGAGGCCCATTAGCTCCTAATGAATTTTTATCTGTTCACATTCTGATTTACTGAAGGGGTTTGAATTTGCTTTATAAAATTAGCAGATAACTGATACTGTTTACCTTTTGTTTTGTTTTTAGTTTGAAAAGACCTTGATCATCATGATAGATTTCAAGATTTTGCAATTCTTATATTTGGGAGATGCAACAATCTCTACTCAGAAGAAGTTAGGACTAGGGTATGTGACACCTGGATTCCTGTGAGTAAGCTTAGTAACCCTTTTACCCTTAGACAATATATAGGACTAGGGGTAAGTTGGTCAATTCAACTTGAATTGTTGAATGAAATGATCATTCATTAAATGACTTCTGGTTCTTTTAACTGCTCCTGAATAGTGAAGATAACCCACCACTTCTCCAAGAGGATGTTGATGTTTTTGTACTACCCTGGTCCATCTGACTCCCTCTTGATCTTCTGGGTACCTGAAATCACTCCAGGGGAAGCAGCTAATTACCATCCCTTCTCACTTGAAAAGTGTGAAGTGAAGCATGTGTAATAGATTAAAAATAGTGAGTTTTCTCCTTTTCCAGGATCTGAGTTAGACATTAATATGAGGTAATGCTGAGGAGTAATGATATGGCCAAAGAAGAATATACTAATACTAGAGACCCAGTGCATGAAATTTGTGCACTAGGCAGCAGGGGGTGGGGGGGGAGTTCCTCAGCCCAGCCTGTGCCCTCTCACAGTCTGGGACCCCTTGGGGGATGTCCGCCTGCTAGCTTAGGCCCAATCCCCCTCAGACATCCCTCTTGCAGTCTGGGGCTCTCACAGTCTGGGACCCCTCGCTCCTTACTGGCCACCTATAGTGGATGCAGGAGAGGCTCCTGACACCACCGCTGTGCTCACCAGCTGTGAGCCCGGCTTCTGGCTGAGTGGCGCTCTCCCTGTGGGAGTGCACTTACCACCAGGGGGCAGCTCCTGCATTGAGTGTCTGCCCCCTGGTGGTCAGTGTGCATCAAAGTGACCGGTCGTTCTGCCGGTCGTTCCACCATTCAGTTGATTTGCATATTAGGGTTTTATTATATAGGATGAGCACAACTCTTCCCCTTTTCCCTCATGCCCAAAGAAAAAGCCCTTTCTTAAATTCCTTACATTTGCCGAAATGACACATGCCTTAGCTGAATTGCACATGGATTCTAATCCTAGCTCCCTCACTTTCTCTCTTATGACCTTGAACAAATAAATTATCCTTTGCTTGTCTCAGTATTTTCATCTTTAAAATGGGCATGGTAATATTAGCACCTGTCTCCTGTGGTGATTGTGGGAATTCAATCAGTGAATATATAAAGCACAACAAATCTGACAGAGAATGTGCTATAATGAGTATCCTATCTAATAAAGAGGGGTTATGCTAATTGACCCTTATGCCATCGCAAAGATGGCGGCACCCACAGCCAATAAGGAGGGAATATGCTAATTGACTGCCCCGCTCTCAAAGATGGCAGTGCCCATAGCCACAAGATGGCAGTACCCAGTTCCCTCAGCCCCACCAGGGCGGCAGGTGCACTGCAAGGCCGGGCTGCTCCGCGTGCCTGCCTCTGGAGTCCCCCAGTCCCCTCGGCCCCCCAGCTGCCCAGGGCTGGCCCGAGGTGCAGGCAAGCCTGGATGTTGGCTGCCCAGCCGCCCAGGGCCGCCCGAGGCTCAGGTAACCAGGCCAGCAGTGGCAGCAGCAGAGGTGTGATGGGGGTGTCGCCACCCGCCCCTGAGGGCTCCCGGACTGTGAGAGGGGGCAGGCTGGGCTGAGGGACCCCCGCTCCAGTGCATGAATTTTCATGCACCGGGCCTCTAGTTAGGTTATATTATTTTGTCTTTCTAAAGATTAATTTACTGGGGTTTTTTGTTGTGTGTTTTTTTGAGTCATTGTATGTGATCCATTTCTAGGGTAAAAAGTTGAATATTTTTAGCTCCAGTAATTTCAAATTTCATTTAGTACAAACCCCCAAAACATGTTTTTGAAACATTTCACTTTTCCTGTAAAATCCATTAAATTCTCTGAAGTGATCCACATCTGTTTTTAGCATAAAAGAAATTGTGCAATGAGGAGAGAGAGGAAGAATATTTTTCATTCATTCCCATTAGTGACACTGATTTATGCAATCTGATTGGTATTCTGGAGGAAGTTATTTCGAACATTTCAGGTGTTAGTCACTTAACAAAGAATTTGACAAATTTCCCCAGAAAGACTAACTACATTGTAGTCTATCCCACCAATGAATAAAAGAAGAAAAGATTTCACAAGTATTGTGTAATTTACTGTAAGGCCATAAACACATTACTAATATCATTGAGAAGCTAACTTTCTCAATGATAAGTTAGAGGATATAGGGTGAATGATAGAAGCCAATGATATTTAATTCTTTATTATATTTCTATGCCTGTTTTTCTTAAGATATTATGTAAGTGCAAGGTTCATTAGTAGTTCATTCTTTAGTAGTTGATTTATCTTATTCTCATTTAATATGAGTCAGGTGTATAGGATAGTTTATAGACTCCATGCCAAATGACTCTCGAGAGTCTGGATTTAAAGATTTTTTTATAGGATAGTTTACAGACTCCATGCCAAATGACTCTCAAGAGTCTGGATTTAAAGATTTTTTTTAAAAAAAATTTATTGATTGAGAGAAAGAAAGAGAGAGAGAAAGAGAGAGAGAGAGAGAGAGAGAGAGAGAGAGAGAGATGCATATGTTTGTTATCCCGCTTATGTATGTATTCATTGGTTGATTCTTGTATGTGCCCTGACCAGAGATGGAACCCGCAATCTTGGTGTATCAGAAGGATGCTCTCACCAGCTGAGCTACCTGGCCAGAGCCCTTGGTTTTTCATGGTGTTTCTGTCTTCTGTTGTCCTGTGTGCTATAACGTCCTACCATAGTCCTTTCTACCACTAGCAGCTTTTCTGATCTGCTGCGAAACTGGGTAATCAGGTTAGAACTGTGTTTTTTAAAATGTTGTAGGTGAAGACATCCATCTCTTCCTTTTGTTCCCTAGTGCCCTGTTGCTCAAAGAGGGGTCTGCAGACCAACGGCAGCAGCTCACTGTACTAGAAATGCAGAATCTTGGGCCTCACCCCAGAACTGCTGAATCAGAGTCAGCGTTTTAACAAGATTCTCAGGTGATTCATGTGCACAGTAAAATTTGAGCAGTTCCACTTTAGCATGTCAACTCTGTGACAGTTCATTTTTTTCTATCCCGAGATCCTTTTTTAGCTTACAAGTTGTGTCTTACTGTGCTCTAAGTTATATAGCTTGCAGAAATATTGTATGTCTACAGACGAGGGCCATATTATAATGTCTAAAAGGGTATTCACGTTTGGTAAGAGGTAATTGATGAACATTTTATTTTCTCTCTCCTAGGATATCCCTGGTGATCTTGGAAGAGTCTGTGTCATGGAATCTATCTCGATGATGGGAAGCCCTAAGAGCCTTAGTGATACTTTTTTGCCTAATGGCATAAATAGTATCAAAGATGCAAGGAAGGTCACTGTAGGTGTCATTGGAAGCGGGGATTTTGCCAAATCCCTGACCATTCGACTTATTAGATGTGGCTATCATGTGGTCATAGGAAGTAGAAATCCTAAATTTGCTTCTGAATTTTTTCCTCATGTGGTAGATGTCACTCATCATGAAGATGTTCTAACAAAAACAAATATAATATTTGTTGCTATACATAGAGAACATTACACCTCCCTGTGGGACCTGAGACATCTGCTCGTGGGTAAAATCCTGATTGATGTGAGCAATAACATGAGGGTAAACCAATATCCAGAGTCCAATGCTGAATATTTGGCTTCCTTATTCCCGGATTCACTGGTTGTCAAAGGATTTAACGTTATCTCAGCCTGGGCACTTCAGTTAGGGCCAAAGGATGCCAGCCGGCAGGTGTGTATTTTTACATTTTATTCTTGTTTATCTAGTATTTTGTGGTTATGTAGTTAAACAAATAGCATACATTTAAAAACCAAACTCAGACCCCCTCCAATGATTATCATTTAGAATACTATGTATGAGCACCCGAAAGTCCTGACCTTGTCGGGGCACACATCTTTTCTTGGACTTTTCTGTCATAACCAGCTAATCCAAGAAAAGGCAAGGTTGGCTGATGAAGAATGGAACACATTGAATTGATCTCTCCTTGCTTCCTCCAAAATAGAAATAAACAGCAAGCATGTCCTTTGTCTTTCACTCCTTCTCTCCCAACCGTCTTTCCTCCCTCTTCCTTCTTCTCCCCTCTTCCTTGCTTGCAACTATTCTGTAGCTGTATTCCATCACTGTATGAAATACTACTTAATGTGACCCTCCAGAAGAATGCTTTGGGAGTACCTTTTTATTTTACATAGGTTATTCATAGAATTTATTAAAATACAGTAGTACAGCTTATTTTCTTTTTAAGTGTAGGTTTTAATCCCTGTGGGGAAGATAGAAGCAGATTGGATTTCTTAGGTTCTCCTTTAGCGAGGGGTTGTGTCTAGTTCACCTTGAAAATCAAAGCAGATGGGGAACTCCCTCCATGCCTTTGTGGAATGAGAGCCTTTGTAAGTAAACATATGAATAGTGCGCCTTAAAGGTGTGATGCTGCATTATAATTAAGCATGATGACAAAATACCTTCGTTATTTTTGTCCATAACGATAGTTGATTAGGAGTCTTAGAAAATAAATTCAAGTATTATATCACTGCATGCTGCATGTCATTCACAATAGCTGTTCACTTTCGGGTCTTTAATTTGGAAGGCTAGTAAAAGAATATATGTTTTCCAATTTTCCTAGAAGCTCTTTCTGAATCCTTTTTTTTTTTTCCTTTTGCATATCCACCAAAGTTGAGCAATGGATACAGACTAAATTAGAGATAAGCCTGAATTTAATCCTTTGCCCATATTTGTGATCATTTTAATTCTTTAACAACAAAGTTTGTGGAACAATGATTTAATTCAAAGGGAGCTACAGAAATAGTTTCATTTGTAGTTCATACTACTCGTGTCCTTGTTATGAATGTTTGATTTATACTTTTAGGTTTATTATAAAATTTCATAATTTATAGGATTTTTCTAACAAATAAAAGAGTTTACTTCATCATTGTCACAACTGTAATAAATTAATTTAGAATGCTTTTCCTTATTTCTCAGTTATATAGGTATTGTCCCCCACTCCATTTTAGAAGTTCATGAGCATGTGTATAATAGTATAGACTTTGTCACTCATCTGCCTAATATTAGGTAAAATTAACAATGCAAAGAGCTTTACATTGTCAGCATAATGTAAATAGGTTTAGCATGCCAGTGTTTCAGTGTGGTCTGTTCTAGAACCCTTATATAAACATCTTCAGGGATAAATATATTTAGGAATCTGTTTCCCCCAAACATTACTAATAGCAGTATTTTTCTAGCCCTCGGTGAGATGACCTACCCATAAGTAATAGTGGCTCACTCTAGCAATGCATTTGGTGCTCAGCAAATACTTGTTGAATTCTCATCTTCAGTAGTATATCTAAGAGGTTGTGGTAGTCTAAAGCCCATCCCCAACCTCACCCATCTTATCATTAGTGTTCCTATAGGGTTAACACCTTAGTGTTAGCACTTGGAGTGCGGGTGAATTTCCCGCCAAAATATAAGATGGCTCTGTCTTTTGGTTTTGTTCCATCCACCAAAAGGGTGGATTACAAACAAATATTTGGTAATACGCAGTTACAATCGGCCCGAGTTTACACGTTTCCCGCACTCCACCGCAAATCTATATGAACCGAGTTAAAGACGGCTCCCGCAGAGTACTTATCATTAGTGTTCCTATAGGGTTAACACCTTAGTGTTAGAAAATGGCAGTTGATTTACTTTTTAAATTAAGTCTTATTATACCACCCCTCCCCCCAGTATGTTGTCATCATTTAAAGATAAAAGAATATCATATTCTGACTAATGAAATAATATGCTTGAGATAACCCATGTTTTTTCCAGAGATACTTGGCAAATTGGTTTCTGAGCCAAAAGATAAATTTTATAATACAGCATCATGACATAATTTAAAGGTGTTAGTTGCAAATTCAGTCCTGAGGGCACGCCCACCTTCTTTCTTGCTGAATTATCTGTAAAAGGCAGTGCTTGTAACCACCCTACTAGGCAGAATCACTATCCACTATCGCCCCAAAACTAAATATTATCCAGGAAAGCCTGGCGAGCCAGCCCCAGCCTGTTCTCTGAGGGAGAGAGAGAGCTGGAGTGGGCGGGGCACAACCAGCAGCTCAAACTCCACCCACTGCAGGGGAGGCCTGAAGTCACCAGTGCCATTGAACCACGTGATCCGGAACCTTTGTTCCTCCTGCCTTCCTTCCCCTGAGGTCATCCTGATCCCAGGTTCTAGCCAGATTTGTCTGCATTTTCTTTTCATGTCATCTCACAGGACTTGGCCATTCTTAATGACACTATTGTAATCTATTAATAAATAATAAATTAATAAATGCTTTATCTCCTTAACTTTTGCATCACTTGGTCATCACAGGTGATGCTCCATAGACTAAGTGGAGCGTGGGATCATCACCATTTTTATAAGCAGCAATAGTAATGATGTGTCTTTTGTTTTCGCTGCAGGTTTATATTTGCAGCAACAATATTCAAGCTCGACAACAGGTTGTGGAACTTGCCCGGCAGTTGAATTTTACTCCCGTGGACGTGGGATCATTAGCATCAGCCAGGGAGATTGAAAATTTACCCCTGCAACTCTTTACTCTCTGGAGAGGGCCAGTCGTGGTAGCCATAAGCCTGGCTACGTTTTTCTTTCTTTATTCCTTTGTCAGAGATGTGATACATCCCTATGCTAGAAACCAGCAGAGTGACTTTTACAAGATTCCCATTGAGATTGTGAATAAAACCTTGCCCATAGTTGCCATTACTTTGCTGTCCCTGGTGTACCTAGCAGGTCTCCTGGCAGCTGCTTATCAACTTTATTACGGCACCAAGTATAGGAGGTTTCCACCTTGGTTGGAGACCTGGTTGCAGTGTAGAAAACAGCTTGGATTACTAAGTTTTTTCTTCACTTCGGTCCATGTTGCCTATAGCCTCTGCTTACCAATGAGAAGATCAGAGCGATACTTGTTTCTCAACATGGCTTATCAGCAGGTATGGAGCATATTTGTTATTTATGTGATGCTTACTATAATTTGTAAACAGTAAGTTTAAAAATTGGGTACAACTTTTCATACCTTGGTATATTTTGGGCAGGAAAAGTACTGTTCTTTAAATAATGTTTCTGCATAGAGTTTCATGGCTAATGCAAAATCATTGAGGGTGAAAGCTGCAACCATCCCTTTCTTTGTAGAATAAAAGCAGAGAAATAAAGGATTAGGATTTTTTCCTTTTAAAAAAAATTGATTATAGAGAGAAGAACTGTGTGTGTGTGTGTGTGTGTGTGTGTGTGTGTGTGTGAGAGAGAGAGAGAGAGAGAGAGAGAGAGAGAGAGAGAGAGAGAAACATTGACGTGAGCAGAAATGTAGATTGGTTGTTTCCTGCACATGCCCCAGCCAGAATTGAACCCACAACTTGGGTATGTGCCCTGACTGGGAATCAAACCTTTTGGTGTGTTCGACAAAGCTCCAACCAACTGAGCTACACAGGCCAGGGCTGTTCTTTCATTTTTAATGTTATTATTGCAATGGTTGCTTTCAGTACTGAACAGTTCATTATTTTAATGTTTTGTAATTGGCTATGTTCCACAAAATGTTAAGGCAATTCTCAGTAAATGTATAAAATAAAATTAGAACCAGTGAAAACAAAACAGAATAGGAAGTCCGTATCAGAAGACATATGCCTACAAGATTTTTGTTATCAAAAAGCAGGAAAGATGCCAGTTCCTCAGGTGAAGCTTTTCTAGCACTCAGCTCAAGAAAATCTCCAGGAGAGCTTCATGGAGGGAGCCTAATGATGGGCTATTTCCCCAATCATTCCCACTCGGCGAATGTAAAATACAGTGTACCACGGGAGCTCTCTGATGTAGCATTTTTCAGTGAAAGCTGAGGACACCGCACCAAAACAAATGTGTAAAAGCCTTTTCTTTTCATAAGGAGCCACGGCATCATGGGCCATGTATGTAGCATCTAGTACTTACATGTGTTTCAACAATTTCAACCTAAAATAATTTGGAAAAAATGAATATCTGAATGTTTTTAAGTCATTCTTTCCCTAAAAATACTAATTCTCTTAACTGAATTGGGAGGTTTTGATATCAGCTCTCCTAGCTTCCTCCTTCAAATCATTTGCTCAGATCTCACCCCCACAGTGAGGCCTACATTGGACACCATTTTAAATTCTGCTACCTACTTCCAACTCAACCCTGGGACTCCCAATCCCTCTTACTCTGCTTGATTATATATGCATTATCAATATAGTTATTATATAGGAATGTGGCAAATGGACAGTTGGAAAAGTATATTAAGTAATGAGGCAATTCAAGTGGATAAATATTTGCATTCAGTAGGGCTTTATCCTCAGGGAAATCTCAGCTTCAGTGGAAAAGAAGAAAAGAAGAAAGAGATAAATCAACATATAAATATTCTTGATGTGAGAAAGGAACACAGAAAATAGTTTAGAAATTCCTTTTCCAGGTTCTAAGTTGAACTAAGTCCAGAATGTACCCAAACAATTCAATCAAGTTTAAACCAACTTGTAAAAGTACCTCAAAACTAAGTCTAACCGCCAGTACTTCTTTGTGTCACCTGGCATTTCGTGGTCTTCGGATGCCAGAGTCCCTGTAACTGGTATGCATTACAAACGTGAGACAGGTTTACCCACTCTTCTCACAAATATGCAAAGAAAGAGAGAATCCTAGTCCTCCTTTTGTTTAACTCTCCATTCTCTTTTTTCCCATGCCCAAAACGATACCATCCAGTAATAGGTTCTCTATAACAGTTTGTTAAAGTGAATTAATACAACTTAAATATGTCCATATGTGATGGATTCTTATGCCCGCAGTGAACTCTGTGCTGAATGAGTTAATGTTCTACCAAATAAGGGAAACTCATGTTTGCTCTCTTGATAGGTTCATGCAGACATTAAAAACTCTTGGAACGAGGAAGAAGTTTGGAGAATTGAAATGTATATCTCCTTTGGCATAATGAGCCTGGGCTTACTGTCCCTCCTGGCAGTCACCTCCATCCCTTCAGTGAGCAATGCTTTAAACTGGAGGGAATTCAGTTTTATTCAGGTATGTGAGGTTTTGTTTGGTGTGGGAATGGGCTGCATAAATTCAAATGTTAGTTGAATTTTAAATAATGCTCCTCATGAAAAGCGCCTTTGGGAGCTGTGTTTTTGCATGTAAGCTTGGTGACCTCATATGGTTGGAGGCTAACTTAGGACCATCCTGGTTTAGTAAGTGAAAGACCAGTACAGGGTCCTACAGCACTGATAGCATTGGCTTTGATAGCCTTGCCTGCTACGCTATGGATAAAGGTTATTTTAATAAGAAAAATAAAATGAAGGTGGGGATGTGTGAGCTTAGAGCAAGTTGAAGCCAACAGTCAATGTATTACTAGCCAAATGAAGAATTCTTTTATATTTTGAGTCATCCTGCTATGTCTAGAAAAATCTCATTAATTTGAAGTTAAGTGAGGAGGTCAGTTTAATATTTAAAACAATATTTATAATTAAATATTATAAATATTTAAATATTTAAAGCAGTCACAAACCAGATAACTAAATTAATGGATTATGACAAGCAACCAGCCTTATGAACTTGTTAGTATATTTAGGATATGTTATATACATGTTTATGTGAGTGTCTACAAAGGGGGTTGTATTTGTATTTTTTTAAATCCTCACTTGAGGACATGCTTTTATTGATTTTAGAAGGAGAGAGAAGCATCAATATGAGAGAGAATCATTGATTGGTTGCCTCCCTCATGTGTCCCAACCAGGGATTGAACCCACAACCTGGGTATGTGCCCTGACCGGGAATCGGACCTGCCATCTTTCTGTGTATGGGACAGTACTCCAACCAACCAAGCCATGCAGCCAGGGCTACATTTGCATATTTAAAAATATATAACTCAAACAGACCCAATCAGTATTGGCTGTATCAAATGGTTTACAGCACTATAATGCCGATAAGTATCATTTGGTGATAAACTGAATTTGGGGGAGGAGGGTTCCTTATTTACTTGAGCTTTTTTGTTTTTAAATTATCTAAAAATCTCATTCAAATTAAGGGCATTTCCCTGGTCTAAATTCTTTTTTCTTCTTTTGAAGGAAAGAAAATATGAATACTTTGCAAAGTGCTAGTTTAATCACACTGGGAAAGAAATAGAAAGCCCTCAGATAAAAGGTGCTAGATGGGTGCAAACTATCATTATAAACTTAGATGAGTAATTGCAGACAGTACAATTTTCTGCTAGAGTTTTGATCCTTTCCCAGTGAAGTTAGATGTTACATCATTCTACAGATGCAATATTACATTTATGTAATAGGGTATGTCTCAAAGTAAACAATCGAACATTATAGTTTAGGGAACCAGGAATGCTAACCTTTTAGATTTTAACCTGTAAACTGCTTAACTGCAGTGCTCTTAATAATCTCATTTAATAAGGTCAATAAAGCCACATGTTTGAAATGATGTTTATATTACATGTTAATATATAAGGCTTTTCATATTTACCTTCAGTTAATATGTACATGTGCATACATATATAAACACACTCATTTTTCCTAATATACACAACTGGCAGAAATGTGGATAACCTATATAAAAAAGTTTAGCAGTTTTTGTCAACACCCTTAAAGTAAAGCCAGATGTTTTGACTAGCAGTCCCACTATATCAGTTCTAAGGAAATAAACCAGAATATAGAAAAGGGCATAGAGTGACATTATTTATAGTTGAGGAAAGCTGGAAACAAAGTAAATAATAATCAACAAAAGGAATGGTTAAATAAATTATAGCACATCCATTCAATGGAATATTATACATCATTACATGGTTCATTCTCAATGACATTAGGGGAAAGTTCTTCATATAATAAATGAAATAATTAGAATATTAAACTATGCAACATGGCTTTAATTGTGTCAAATAAAAAGTATGGATGGATATATATATATATATATATATATATATATATGAAAGTGCTTACATTGTTTAATTTAGTAGAGAACAAAAAGTAGCTCAGTAATAATTTAAGATAAAATAGGTTCACTTATGAATTTGAGTAATTTGTTTCTTATTCTTTGTTTCTTTTTCTTCCTCCTCCATCCGAAGTCTACTCTTGGCTATGTCGCTCTGCTCATAAGCACTTTCCATGTTTTAATTTATGGATGGAAACGAGCTTTTGAAGGAGAGTACTACAGGTTTTACACACCACCAAACTTTGTTCTCGCTCTTGTTTTGCCATCAATTGTAATTCTGGGTAAGAGCATTTTACTTCTTCCATGTCTAAGCCAAAAGCTAAAGAGAATTAAAAAGGGCTGGGAAAAGAGCCAGTTTCCAGAAGAAGGTGTTGGAGGAGCAGTTCCTCATTTCTCACCAGAAAGGGTCACAGTCATGTGATGATAAATGGTGCTCGCTGATGCCATAAGACTTCCTACTCATGCCATTACTTGTATGACTTCCTGTGTGTTCAGTCGCCAGTGTGCTGTCAAATTGCTATGGGCTGAAACTTGTTCAATGTGATCTCAGCCAAATAGTGGTAGAATTTTCTTCAAATTCATGTTCACAAATGTCATTTTTTGTCAATATAGATTTTTGTAGTTGACTTATTGTTAAAATGTAGGTGTTTTTGTTGTTGTTTTGCACAACTGTGACATTACTATTATTTTAACAAACTGTATTCCACAGTCAGGCAAAAATATTTATAGTTAATAATATAGATTACAATATAATGTTAAAAACTCTTTGCAAACCAGCAGAATTTTAAGTTTTAATATAATTCAATAGATAAGTTGTTTTCTGAAGCTCAAGGTTTTAATTATTATCCAGTGTAAGAATTAGAAATGCATAATCATATATTTTTTTAAGAAAGGATGTATTACATTAGCATCTAGGTAAGAGTACATGATTATATTCCTATATTTCTCTCATAAGATAGGATTTGAAGAATGTCATTGATTTTGTGAATTGATGTGATTATGTGAACAAACACAAAACTGAAAAGACAAATTGAACCTGAAATTATATTTAAAAATGCATTGAAGATATGAAAGATATACTGGTAATGTGTACTCCATGAAAGATTTTCTCCCTTACCTTGTTACAAAGCAGTTCCATTTGAATATGTTGTCAGGGAGAAGACTGGAATTGTTGGCCTCCAAAACTGATTTTGCTAATATAGTACCAATCCTGGAAATCGTATAATTGTTTCTAGTTAAAGGGAAAATATTAGTTATACACACAGGTAGCTGTTTGTCAACCGATCTATGTTGTTGCACCTTAGCCAATCATCACACTCTATGGTGCAGGATTTTACGGAAGTTCATTGAGGGATTCTAACATGCCATGTACTGTTGTTCTAAGCACTTGTATTATCCCATTTAATACTTAAAACAGTCCTGTGACAGGGGTAGCTATCATTCTCATTCTACATATGAGAAAACTGAAGAAAAAAAGTTAAGTAATTTGCCCAAGGTCATGGAGTTAGTGGCAGAGCCAGCATTGAAGCCCCAGCAGTCATATTTCAGAGGCTGTGATTTTAACCACTAGGCTGAATGGCCCCTGCTCCATCTCTGTGCATTGCATTCATAATGCCCATCTTTCTGCTTCCTCTTTTGTATAAAGGCATTGACATCCTTGAGAGTGAGTTGTGGTTCTCGAATTGTGATACAATCCACAGTTCTTACCTTGAGGGAGGATCTTGCCTGGGACGTGACCCAGGAGACCCATGGCAGTCCGTACGCCTCCCAATACCGTGAGGGACTCCAGCAGAGATAGGGCCATGGCAATTTTAATAAATGGCTGAGGTCCTACAGAATCTTAAAAAGTCCCTGTAGGTTGGTCATCTCCTTTTCTCTTCTTGAGAAGTCCTCCTGCCTGCTCAACCATTCACTGGGGAGCAGTTTGCAAGCTTGAAGGATATTAGGGGACGTGGTCAATTATAAATCTACTCTGGAGATATATAATCATACAAATTATTCATAAAAATTTTCAGTGCTGACATTCCACATTAAAATGTCATTTTATTCAGACTTTGGTTAGAATGGCCTACATTTTCCCCCATATGCTCTCTCTTATTAAAATAAAAAATTGCAGACAAGATACAATTATACGCACTTCTCTGGAATTATAATATTTCTAAACGTACCCTCTGAGGACTACTGAATCCAGCTGCCAAAAATCAAAGGGCATTTACTGAGTGGAGGCTGCCTTTCCCACCAATGGCTTTTTCCCTACTGTGCATTATGCCAGTTTGGTAAATCACTCATGATTCTCTGATGTTCTCTTCTTGGTGAAGTTTAATGTCTTTTACTTTTTAATTGAGCTCTCCATTTTCTTTATTTTAATTATAGTATTCCCCTCTTGATAATTACTTGTTAGTTCTTAGTAGGAATTCAATTGGGTGATAACTTTTAAAGGTAAACACTCATAAACTACTGTAGTGGACTAGTGAAATTAGCATATTTTCAATACTTTCTTGTTCCTTAAGTTTCACTGTCTTAAGACCATATGTTCACCATTTCATGTGAAAATACAATTAAATATTCTTAAAAGTTAGATGACTATGGAAGTATATTGTTGCACATATATATTGAGTAGCCAATGTATTATAAATAAAATGATTACTCTTAGAGATAAATGGGGACTTTGGAAATATGAAAAAACAGTTTATAAAAAAATATATATAAGATGTAACTTGTTTCAAATGGTATCTCCTTTTCTCCTTTACAACGATAAAGTTAGTTTTGAAGTTTTAGAATAAAGGTAGTATATTATAACTCTAAATATTTCAAAGCTTTTCTAAAATGCAAAAACATTGACTTAGTTGTTTTATTCAGTTGACATTTAATTGCTTTATTTTACTATTTCCTACCTGATTTTCTTCATCACTTTTTTTCATAATCACTTTTATGAAAAATCATTACTCTGGCCTCAGAAGTAGGACTGAATTCTGTTCTTGCTAGATGTGAGAAAGTGGTGGGTACTTTAAAGTAATAGGAATTTGTTTTCTAATCTGTACTTCGAGAAGTGCCCCTGAGAAAAATTATAAGAATGTAGAAAACATATCCAGTCTTAAACTTATGCAAAAAATCAAGTAATTTTTTCCTAAGAAGAAAATAATCCTGGACTGATCATGCTACTTAGCCTTTTTTGTGCAGATGTCATATGTCTCCGCTATTAATAATTTTTAAGATCATGTTTAAATAAGAATATATTCATGCTAACATATATTTTTCAAAGCATTTATAGAAATTTAGCTGAGATTGCCTATGTGTAGAGATTTTTATTTAAATTTTAAAATATTTTAAAGTATGAATAAATTATATTTATAGTATTTATCAGAGATGATTATTTTGTGCTATGTATGGGATTGGCTAATGAGCTCCAGTGTTAAACTACCTGATTATTTTCTAGTAGATTGGCATAATCCTGACTTGATTAAGGAATTTTACTTTTGAAATTAATTTGATAATAGTAGCATAAGGTATATTCATTCATACAGTCAGATTATGAAAATTATTTGTGTAAAAGGGCTTAAAGAATAAATCATATCCATATTTTTGTATTGTTTATCTTCTATGAAATATAAAACATTAATTCTTTTTAATTGCCTTTTGCCATTGAACTATTTCATAGTAAATTCGGTTGAGAGTTCCTCCAAAAGAGGTTTATTTGTGAATTTTAAGGTTTCTTAATGAGACATTTTAAATAAAGGACCATAAATTATATTCATAAGTATTTCTTTAGGAATAATATAAACACTGAACCCGTGTCAGTCTATAAAATCTGTTTTGAAATAAGTAAACAGCCTAAAATGTTATTGAAATTATTTTGTAAACTCATGACTTAGAGCAGTGCCAATGTATTACAAATAATACACCGTGGTCCAGGGTTAAGATTAATATCTGTGATGTGTCATCTAGAAAAGGAGATGCTCCACCTTCAATTGTTCATAAGTCAGTACGTCAGTAAAACACATTCTGATGTGTATTCAGTCTATGTAACGGCTCTAAATGGAACTGTAATAATTTTAGTGGAAACACAATCTGTTTTACCTTTGAACAGTGAATTTTACAGGAATGAAAAGTTCTTCAATTTCTTTAATGTGAAAAATTGTAAAGTGCTAATATTCAGAAATTCTGCCCATATGATACCAAAACAATGCTTAGTTCAGCCTAACACATATGCATACTGAGATTTTTGCTTTCCAAATCATTGGGTTTTCATACATGCAGCCATTCAAAATTAGGGCAGACTATATGGATAGTCCCAGTGACTAGCCTGGCTAAGTTAAATCACCAAAGCAGGGGCTTTTGTATGATTTCCATAATGTCAACTTCTAGGAAATATTTTCTCAACATTTTCTTTAAAGGTTTTACATAGTGTTTCAGATATCCTACTGAACAGGGACTACATAGTTACCCTGCTTCTTTAAAAGCTGCTGTCTGTCAAATTCCTCCACTGCCCTTGCAGTTGGTGGTCCCATGTGACTATGTGTTGTCCAGAGAGATGTATGGGGAATGTATGAGTGACTTCCTGGAAGGGGCTTCCAGCATGTGTTCTTTATCTTATTCCTCCGTCTTGCTGCGGGAATTCTGGAAATAACAGGAGCCTTGACAAATCCAAGAGTACCAAGGCCACACCCTAAGGAAGGCACGTTGGAGACTAGAAAGATCTTGACTACTACATTACTTGGATTGCCCTTTCCAGTATTTAAGCCATTGTAAACTTGGGTTTCTTTATATGAAGTCAAAATCAACCCATTCCAGCCTTCAGTTTTTTGTCAGGATACCGTTCAACACTGTTTGAATAAACTAGAATGCAATAATTCTTACCTTTAAAAGTTTTTAAAGGAAAATGTGCAGTTCATGTTAGAATCGGTTTTCCATTGTTAATTAATTATACTCATCTTCTTGTCTTGATCTTTGATTAAATATTTTGTATCCGCTTAGAAAATAGTCTTCTTTATAACTGTGTAATAGATATTTGCTAAAACTCTGTAATCACCCAATTATTGCTATCAAATTATATGCTATGTTTTTATATCACTCTCATAGATCTGCCTTATAAACCCCTAAATAAAAGTACTATTTAATGTGTTTTAACTTCTTTTTTGAAATGTTGTATATAAATGAATTTTTCTATCTTACCGAATAATAATTCCAATGTTTTATGGAGGATATCTAATACTTTTTCTTTTTAGAAGTATCCAAAAAATACACGTAATAGTTTTGGAATCCTGGGGGTTCTGTTTGTTTGTTTTTGCCAAAGTAATAATTTAGAAAACCATCTATTTAATGAGTTGGTATTCTTAAACATTTCTTTTCACTAGCATTTATTCTTTTTTTAATATGTTTTTATTGATTTCAGAGAGGAAGGGAGAAGGAGAGAGAGATAGAAACATCAATGATGAGAGAGAATCATTGATCAGCTGCCTTCTGCACACCCCTACTGCGGATAGAACCCCTAACCTGGGCATGTGCCCTGACTGTGAATCGAACTGTGACCTTCTGGTTCATGGGTTGACACTCAACCACATTGTCTGAGCCATTAAGGTTGTTTTTTTTTAAACCAGGACTCAACACAATATTCAAGCTATATTCTGTAACCGCCCAGATTGCAGGAACTCTTTCTTATTCACTACTATATTTCCAGTGAGTAGTTCAGTATGGTCCTACAGATACAAGATATGATAATGAATATTGATTCATCTTTACAGAAAATTGTTATTTATCACCCACATCCATGTAGCCATGCCTGCAGTCCTCCTGCCCACACCCCAACCCATCACTACCTCCACCTCTGACCTTGCCTCTTGGCCGTGGCTTGGAGCTGCCCTCTTCACCACCACCATCACCACCACTGCCACACTGCTGTACTGAGGAGGAGCAATCAACGTTGGTGCCTGTGGACAGTGTCTGTAGAGACTCAGGCTTCCTCTGAAGCTGCCTGGCAATGCACGGGTGTTCATGTCCTGAGAGTAGAACTGCCAGTAAAATACAGGACACTTAGTTAAATTGGAATTTCAGAAAATCAACAAATAACTTTTTAATGTAATTCTGTTACTAATATTGCATGGGAATATTTATTATCTAATATGTATTTATTTATTTGCTATCTGGCAACCCGACTTGAGGGGTGAACTTTGACCAAAGAGATGCAGCCCCAGAGGGAGCTGGTGGATAAATTCTTCTTCCTTTCCCCCAGATGGGCTGTTGAGAAGTGCAATAATCCATAGGCCTCCAGGAAAATGTTCTAAAAGACCTAGGAATTAACTGCCCTTATAAAGCTTTGGCCGGCTCAGTAACACCTATATTTGTACTTCCTTCTCCACTGCCTGCCTCACTTCCATCTTTTCCTAACTTATGCTTCCCAGAAATAGTGCCCCCCAATAAAGTGGCGGCAGTTGAATGTTGTTGTTTGTTTATAGCAGGCTCTAGGGACCCTAGGAAAGCACAGTAGTTCTGGTAGTGGATTCTTCAGATGGAAAATAAAACAAGAAATACTGATTTTTTACAAAGCAGGCTCCAAGTTCAGATATGTTGGAGCCCTGGAAGGAAGTGCATCTCCCGGGGACAGATTCACATTGATCAAATGTACAGTGATAAATTGTTAAAATAGTAATTTATCACTCCTGGGAGAAATATCAGTGTCCTATAGGCAAGAATACCAGTTTTGCCTTAAATAAGCATATTCTACTCTTGAATCTGTTCTTTCTATGAATTCCATTTATAACCCAAAGGATGCTGGAATCAGTTATGGGCTGAATTGTATCCCCTTAAGATTCATACATTGAAGTCCTAACTCCCAGTACCTCAGAATGACTGTACTTGGAGATAGGGCCTTTATAGAGGTAATTAAGATAAAATGAGGTCATGTGAGTGGGCCCTAATCCAATATAACTGGCATCCTTATACGAAGGGCAGTTTAAGATGGAGGGAAGACCATGTGATGACAAAGTCAAAATGGGGCCATCTGAAAGCAAGGAGAGAGGCTTCAGAAGGAAACCAATCTTGGACACCTTGAACTTCGACTACTAGCCTCCAGGCTGTGAGGAAATAAAATACCTGTTGCGTAAGCCAGCCAGTTTGTGGTATTTGTTCCGGCAGCCCTAGCAAACTAATACAGAGTCCAGGGAATCAGAACAAGTCATGGTATGGAACTTGAATAATTAATGTCATAGGAATAAAACTTGTCTGATTAATCCTGCTCCACAATAAAGACACTTATGTCCTGGAGGTACTTCACTATAACCTCCCACCAGGTAAACACAGTAAGTAGTTTTTAGTTCTAAAAGCTTGAGGACATTTTCATTTCACAGAAATATTTCTATATCATGGAACTGAAGCTTTGATCAGGTGAAAGCCACTCTATAAACTCATTTCATGTTTTAACATTTATTTAGCTTATTCACTAAACATTTAAAAATCATTCACAATTTAGGTTATCACTACACTTTTTATTAGAATGGTTGATTTCAGGAGTGGTTGGTTTTTTTTTACTTTTGTTTTCTGCTCCATACACTTATTACTCCCAAATTTGCATTAATGATTCTGTTGGAAAGAGGTAATTAGTTTTGCTTCTTTTTCATGCTTTGTTTCTGTAACAATCAATCTGAACAAATTTTTAAAACACTAAAGCAGATTACATTCAAGCTTTATATGTATTTCTGGTTACATAATTCGCTAAACTGACACTATACTCTATATGTGCTATAAAAATTGTTTAAAATAAATTACTTTGACTCAGAAAGAAATATTTGCTGAACATATAGAATATCTGGCATTAGTTTAGAGACTACCAAATTCATATGTAATCTAAAATACTTATTAGAAATGTTCCTAACTCATGCTAATGAATAATTACAATTTTACTAGACATTGCTCATTAGACAATGTGCAAAGAAATATCAGGAAAAAGCAGAACGATATTTCTTAATATTAGTTTTTATGTTAAAAACATTTAACTGTTACTTTAAAAGTTAAAATTTGTAAGTCCACATATTAAAATTTCTAATTAGTCTTTGAATCTACATCTGCTTTTTAAAGAAATTGCAATTTTTAACTTAACAGATGTTAAATCTGCAGAATTGTTATCCGATTGAAACATTTTTATTCTCTATGTATAAGTAATTTCTCATAAGTTTTTCTACTGTTAGTTTAAATTTTTTTTTGCTGAAATAGTTACCATTTCAATGGTATTTTTACCTCTATGTCTTTGTGTTTTAGTGTCATTAAAAAAAAAAGTGTCCTGTACTCTTAACTTACAGACTTCAAAAATCTATATTAAGAGGCATCAGTGAATAATGATTAAAGTTAAATCCACTACCTAATGTAAACAGGAAAAAGTGAAGGGTTTTTAAGTGCTAGAAAGGGGGAGTTCATAGGAGTTATGCTAACTAAACATTGGAAACTGGTTTTCTGGATCTAGGACAAAATCCTATATAAAAAAAGCAAATATGCTAATTAGACAGGATGGCGGGATGACCTTCCAGAACGAGCAGGGGCCAGGGGGTGGGACTACGAGGGCTGAGCCCCTCGCACAAATTTCATGCACCGGGCCTCTAGTGAATATATAGGTCTGCACACAATTAGTTAAAATAAAATAAAATCCCCTGTTCATTTACCAGGAATGTGTCTTCAGTTAAGTCCAGTGAGGAGAGTCTGATTTGCCAGGGTCATGCAGGTTTCTAGAACAGTGTCAACTTCAGCCTATTGTGCTGAAACACAGCAGTAGTTGATTATCTCCTAGGCAAGCTCTGCTTTCTGTGGGAAATTTTCCTTTGCAATCCCCCTATTCATCTTTCCACCAGAATGAGCACACAGGATAAGCTGCATCCAGAGGTCAGTTCTCCACCACCATCTTGGTCTCAGGTAACCCATTGTGTTTATCCGAGTGGTTTCAGTCTGCTTTTGATATGGTGTATGCGGAATGTGCAACTCAGTTAAGGTCATGTTAATAATACACTTGACAAACCCGTTGCACTCTCCGTGGGTGATAGCAAACTTAGACCTGCTGACCCCAATTCTAGGTGTAAGGTCTGAGAGCTGCTCCAAAAGTACCAAGAGGTAACTGTGAAGATAAAAGAAAAAAAGAATGCTGAAACCCAGGCAAAGGAGTTTCAGGCAGGGAGAGAGTGGTCAACAGTGTAAAATACGGCAGACAAGTACAGTGTCTACAGACTCCGACCTCAGTCAGAGCAGTTTCAGAGAACTGGGCTGAGGAAAGTAGAAGGATGCGTTGAAGTGAGAAAATAGAGACTGGAAATACTCAGGACTCTTTCAAAGAAGCTTGGGGGTTGGCTCTGATTTACATTAAGTACTGCCAGGCCCAATCTGGTTTTCCCAGTTCTCTTTATTTGTGGAGCCAAAAATGTTATTCAGTGTTTGAACTGGTTAAGGCGCCTTAGAAATCACCGATCAACTTGCTTATTCTATAAATGAGAAGAGAAACCCCGAGAAGTGCAATGAATTTTATTTTTATGGAGATTATGTGTAATTTTTCAGCCCGTGAATTCTATGGAAGATATAAAAACAAATTTAAATCTTGAAGAATTTCTGTAAGTTAAAAAAAGGATTAAAAGGTTTAAGGGATTCTTAAATTTTCACAGCCAAGGTGTTCGGAGTGGTTAGGTTATAATGATGATTATCATGAGAAGCTTTTCCTTAAAAGTCTTTCCCCTTCTTGGACTATTACTCAGGATACAGTGAATAGATAACACAGTAATAGTAAGGACAACGGTAATCTTGATCAGTTACTGAGCGCTTATGTGCCAACCACCACTTTACAAAACTGTCTGCTCACAGCTCTCTATTTAACTGGTAAGAAGAGTGAGATTAACTTGTTCTAGATTCAATGAGTTGACTCAAAAGTCTTCTCACGTTGTGGCAAACGCCTTATTGAACTGCCTTGTAGGACCACTCAAGTACAGAAGAGGTCGGAGGCTGGAAATGTAGGTGACACGAGTCACTTCTCTGGGGTGAGATAAACTGCTCCCCTTCCCACACTATCCGTCCATCATCTACCTCTTACACATCCCACATCCACGCCTCATCCCTCCACCCACTCTCCCCCGCTTTCAGAAGGCCCTGCGCACGTGACCAAA